TATAGTCAAGTTCAAACCAATTAGAAATAAAATATTGTCTCGCGCAAACGAAGACTTTAAAATTAAGAAATTTCTCCGATGACGGGTTTATTACAGAATTCATCTTCATCTTAAAACATCGTCGCGAAATGCGTTTATTTCTTGCTATTCAGGATGATACCATCATACTTCTGCTGGAACCACTTCATGGCATCCTCTTTTGTCAGACGATGTTGGAAACCGACGGTGCCAGCTTTGCGCTTTCTGTGAGCCACGTTATAGCCTAAAACAAAACAATATATAAATAAATAATAATTAAGATCACTCGATAAATCATTCACAATAGTTGCGCGGAGTAAACAATTTTGTTGCAATTGTACCGTTTGAGTTTGTATTAAAACAAATCCATTTAAGCACACTTTCATTAATATGCGCACAGTTACTGAGCATCCATTTCGTATTGGAAATGGACACCTAATTATGTGCAGCATCCACTGGGATTCTGATTGGCATGTAGTTCTTACCTGGACGTCCCAATACAACGTAGAAGTCCAAGCCATAGATACCGATTGAGGGATCGTACTTGATGCCCAAATCAATATGTTCTTGAATACCAAAGCCAAAGTTGCCAGTGGCTGAGAAGTTATCGCGTCTCAACTCGTACTCGCGCACTTTCAGGCCACGCTCCAAGATTTCCTCGGCCTTAGCGCCGCGCACTGTGCAATGCACTGCGATCTTTTCATTACGACGAATACCGAAAGAACGCACTGTGTAGCGGGCCTTCGAGAACACTGGCTGTTGTCCCGTCAGCTGCTCCAAAACCTAACAATGAAATAGGAGACCTTAGTTTTGTTTGTTCGGCATATTTACTCTTGTTTTTAGGATTCTTACCTTGGCGGCACGAGTAAGCCTATCACCGGATTCACCTACGCAGATGTTGAGGCACAGCTTCCTGATGTGCAGATCGCGCATAGGGTTTTTCGCGGGATCGCGCTTGATTTTAGGTTCCTTCTTAGCAACAGCCTGAAAAGGTTTATTTTGATTTATCAATATATGATTTAAACGCAAAATAATATTTCAATCAACACATCCAATCGAATAACTTCAAGTCTACATTCATAGTTTACAATAATATTGAACGATTAATGTAGATGTTGAATAATTTACACTTGACAAGAATTTCAGAAAACCTACCGCCATTATGGTATGTAGGAAAGAAAGGAAAAAGGCGTGTTACAGTTCAGTGTCAGCCTACGCCAGCGATACGTGTTATCGATTTGTAGTCGATAGTCGCCGAACCATTAATAGCGGCATTCCCAAAAGAAATTATTATACATAAATAATGTTAACATGTCTTAAATTGAGCACATATGTAAGGGAACTGGTCTTCAGTATGGGATATATTTTCAAGAATCGCCACTATTAAATAAAAAAAAGTTACCATGTTTTTTGCGTTATTGAATTATAATGATATTCGTACTTCGCTATCAACACTTGAGTATTTAAGTGTAAGCTATTTTTTTTTAACTAGCTACATTATATTTAACAATATTTAAT